GTTGTCAACACGGCCAAGAAAAGTTGAAATTATGTTTACACTGCTCAAACAGGTCATCGGGTGTCCTCTGGTCGTTGAGTACCGCAGACACACGACCCCATCTTGTCTCTGTCGCAGGTTTAGACCGGGACGCATTGCAGGTTTATACAGAGACATGGTACAGGGACAGGTGGAGTTATATCTGTGAAATACATTGCAAGGTAGCATTGTGCAGTCTCTCGCACGCGTTCACACACACACACACACACACACACACACACACATAATGCGGCCCCAGCATGGAGCCCGTATGCTACTAGACTAGTCCCAGAACTAAGAGGCATGAGTTATGAGGAAAGGCTGCGGGAAATGCACCTTACGACACTGGAAGACAGAAGAGTAAGGGGGGACATGATCACAACCTACAAAATCCTCAGAGGAATCGACCAGGTAAACAAGGATGAACTATTCAACACTGGTGGGACGCGAACAAGGGGACACAGGTGGAAGCTGAGTACCCAAATGAGCCACAGAGACGTTAGAGAGAACTTTTTCAGTGTCAGGGTAGTTAGTAAATGGAATGCATTAGGAAGTGATATGGTGGAGGCTGACTCCATACACAGTTTCAAATGTAGATATGATAGAGCCCAATAGGCTCAGGAATCTGTACACCAGTTGATTGACGGTTGAGAGGCGGGACCAAAGAGCCAGAGCTCAACCCCCGCAAGCACAATTAGGTGAGTACACATATGCGCGCACGCACACACACACACACAAACACAAACATACACACACAAACATACACACAAACACAAACATACACACACACACAAACACACACAGTGTCAGGTGGCCAGTGTCCTTGACTTGTATACCATGCAAGGTGATGGAGAAGATCGTGAGAAAAAACCTGGTAACACATCTGGAGAGAAGGGACTTCGTGACAAATCGCCAACATGGATTCAGGGAGGGTAAATCTTGCCTTACAGGCTTGATAGAATTCTACGATCAGGTGACACAGATTAAGCAAGAAAGAGAGGGCTGGGCGGACTGCATTTTCTTGGATTGTCGGAAAGCCTTTGACACAGTACCGCATAAGAGGCTGGTACATAAGCTGGAGAGACAGGCAGGTGTAGCTGGTAAGGTGCTCCAGTGGATAAGGGAGTATCTAAGCAATAGGAAGCAGAGAGTTACGGTCAGGGGTGAGACCTCCGATTGGCGTGAAGTCACCAGTGGAGTCCCACAGGGCTCTGTACTCGGTCCTATCTTGTTTCTGATATATGTAAATGATCTCCCGGAGGGTATCGATTCATTTCTCTCAATGTTTGCGGACGATGCTAAAATTATGAGAAGGATTACAACAGAAGAGGACTGTTTGAGGCTTCAAGAAGACCTAGACAAGCTGAAGGAATGGTCGAACAAATGGTTGTTAGAGTTTAACCCAACCAAATGTAATGTAATGAAGATAGGTGTAGGGAGCAGGAGGCCAGATACAAGGTATCATCTGGGAGAGGAAATTCTTCAGGAGTCAGAGAAGGAAAAAGACTTGGGGGTTGATATCACGCCAGACCTGTCTCCTGCAGCACATATCAAGCGGATAACATCAGCGGCATATGTCAGGCTGGCCAACATACGAACGGCATTCAGAAACTTGTGTAAAGAATCATTCAGAACTTTGTATACCACATATGTCAGGCCAATCCTGGAGTATGCAGCCCCAGCATGGAGTCCATATCTAGTCAAGGATAAGACTAAACTGGAAAAGGTTCAAAGGTTTGCCACCAGACTAGTACCCGAGCTGAGAGGTATGAGCTACGAGGAGAGACTACGGGAATTAAACCTCACTTCGCTGGAAGACAGAAGAGTTAGGGGGGACATGATCACCACATTCAAGATTCTGAAGGGGATTGATAGGGTAGATAAAGACAGTCTATTTAACACAAGGGGAACACGCACAAGGGGACACAGGTGGAAACTGAGTGCCCAAATGAGCCACAGAGATATTAGAAAGAACTTTTTTAGTGTCAGAGTGGTTGACAAATGGAATGCATTAGGGGGTGATGTGGTGGAGGCTCACTCCATACACAGTTTCAAGTGTAGATATGACAGAGCCCGATAGGCTCAGGAATCTGTACACCTGTTGATTGACGGTTGAGAGGCGGGACCAAAGAGCCAGAGCTCAACCCCCGCAAACACAACTAGGTGAGTACAACTAGGTGCGTACACACACACACACACACACACACACACACACACACACACACACACACACACACACACACACACACACACACAATCACACACAAACACACACACACACACACACACACACACAGAGTACCCACATTAGCCACAGAAACGTTAGAAGGAACTTTTTCAGTGTCAGAGTAGTTAACGGATGGAATGCATTAGGCAGTGATGTGGTGGAGGCTGACTCCATACACAGTTTCAAGTGTAGATATGATAGAGCCCAGTAGGCTCAGGAATCTGTACACCAGTTGATTGACAGTTGAGAGGCGGTACCAAAGAGCCAAAGCTCAACCCCCGCAATCACAAATAGGTGAGTACACACCGGAAAAAAACGGAACTGAGAGTAATGAGTTACGAGGAAAGGCTAAGGGAGCTGAACCTCACAACCCTGGAAGACAGAAGAGTAGGGGAGACATGATAACCACCTACAAAATTCTCAGGGGAATTGACAGGGTGGACAAAGACAAACCCTTTCGTACGGGCGGGATACGAACAAGGGGACACAGGTGGAAACGCAATACCCAAATGAGACACAGAGACATTAGAAAGAATTTTTTCAGTGTCAGAGTAATTAACAGATGGAATGCATTAGGCAGGGATGTGGTGGAGGCTGACTCCATACACAGTTTTAAATGTAAATATGATAGAGCCCAATTAGCTCAGCAACCTGTACATCAGTTGATTGACAGTTGAGAGGCGGGACCAAAGAGCCAGAGCTCAACCCTCGCAAGCACAACTCGGTAAGTACATCTAGGTAAGCACACACTCCACGGGATCAGATGTAGATCAGGTCTTTCTATGGGCTACAAAAAATAATATGGTGTGGGGGGAATAAGTTGGTTACCGAAAAGTTGTTCAATGTCAACCAATATTTTTTGACTAGTTGAATATGAAAAGGGCTGCAATTGTTCCAAGTTTCAGTACTTCAGCGTAAATAGAAACGGAGATTTTTTTTCAACGGTTTTTTACACATTTTCAAGTCTGAATAAATAAACACACGTTTGAGATATAATTATTCTGTGAAACTTTTCTAACACATCAGCATATAATAACGGATGTGTAGATAGATAATTTCCAAAACATCTTTAGTTTTCCTGATACAAATTTTCTAAGTTCCCCCCAAAATTATGCAAATATGGCACGTTTATTGCTATTATAAAATCAATAAATGAACTTAGAGAGAAAAAAGCTATCTCCAACATTTAGAGACATGCACTCTACATATACTCCATATACTGTGCAAGTTTCATGTAAATTGAATAAAAAATGAAAAAGTTATTTGAACATTTATGTTAATTAAAAAATAGGAAATAAAGTCTAAGGTTCTAAAATCTGTGGCTGATGTTGACATCAACCAATTTTCTCCAAAATTAGCACCCTTACAGATAGGCTTACGTGCAGTCAGGTATATAACTTTCATGCAAACCGTCCGATGAAAAAAAAAATAAAAAAATATATATATATTTTTTTTAACTTAAACTTTTTTCCAATTAAACTAATTATAATATTTGTTTAATATATGCTATTGTGATAGCAACGACTCATAGATATGATTTTAGTTGACACTTTTGTTTGATAATCGTTTTTGACCATTTTTGGAATAATTTTGACACCTACTTCAATATTTTTTTCCTCCCTTCCTATTTATGCTACGATGCTGAGACTTGGACCAGATGAAACACTTTTCATAAACAACTTACCAAAAAAGTTTGATTGAAATGGCACGAGTTTTCATTTATTGCAGTTTTGGGCAAATTAGAACCTATTGCCCCCTTAACGAAGATAAATTCCAGCTCATGCGCTACGGAAAAAATGAAAATATAAAAACGGAAACCACGTACAAAACTCAGGCAATTCATAACATAGAACGAAAAGGCAATGTAAAGGATCTGGGTGTACTCGTGTCGGAAGACCTTACCTTTAAAGAACACAATAAAGTAGCCGTCACAACTGCAAGAAAAATGACAGGTTGGATAACAAGAACTTTTCACACTAGAGATGCTGTACCGATGATGATACTTTTCAAGACGCTTGCGCTCTCTAGAGTGGAGTACTGCTGCACAATGACAGCACCTTTCAAAGCTGGAGAAATTGCTGACCTGGAGAGCGTGCAGAGATTCTTTACTGCTAGAATCCACTCACTAAAACATCTAAACTATTAGGACCGACTAAAGAGCCTAAATCTGTATTTCCTTGAGCGCAGGCGGGAGAGATACATAATAATCTATACGTGGAAAATAATAAAGGGGCTGGTCCCAAACCTGCACACAGAAATAACATCACATGAGACCAGAAGGCATGGCAGGATGTGCAGAATACCCCCGTTGAAGAGCAGAGGTGCAACAGGTACTCTGAGAGAGAACTCTATCAACATCAGAGGCCCGAGACTGTTCAACACGCTTCCACTACACATAAGGAGCATAACTGGCCGACCCCTCACAGTGTTCATGAGATAACTTGAGAAACACCTCCAAAAGATACCTGATCAACCAGACTGTGACTCATACGTCAGACTGCGAGCAGCCGCGTCCAACAGCCTGGTTGATCAGTCCAGTAACCAGAAGGCCTGGTCGACGACCGGGCCGCGGAGACGCTAAACCCCGGAAGCTCCTCAAGGTAACCTCAAGGTAAAGTAGGACCTCACGGCTGAGTTGACAGCGCTCTTGGGTCAAAGTCCTAAGGGGCGGGGTTCGATCTCCGGCAGAGGCAGAAACAAATGTTCCGAGTTACTTTCACCCTGATACACTACCTGCTCACTCCCAGAGATCCGGATGCTCCAGATCACCAAGCACCCTCCACATCACCAAGCACCCTCCACGTCACCAAGCACCCTCCACGTCACCAAGCACCCTCCACGTCACCAAGCACCCTCCACGTCACCAAGCACCCTCCACATCACCAAGCACCCTCCACGTCACCAAGCACCCTCCACATCACCAAGCACCCTCCACATCACCAAGCACCCTCCACGTCACCAAGCACCCTCCACATCACCAAGCACCCTCCACGTCACCAAGCACCCTCCACATCACCAAGCACCCTCCACGTCACCAAGCACCCTCCACATCACCAAGCACCCTCCACGTCACCAAGCACCCTCCACATCACCAAGCACCCTCCACGTCACCAAGCACCCTCCACATCACCAAGCACCCTCCACGTCACCAAGCACCCTCCACGTCACCAAGCACCCTCCACGTCACCAAGCACCCTCCACATCACCAAGCACCCTCCACATCACCAAGCACCCTCCACGTCACCAAGCACCCTCCACATCACCAAGCACCCTCCACGTCACCAAGCACCCTCCACATCACCAAGCACCCTCCACGTCACCAAGCACCCTCCACGTCACCAAGCACCCTCCACATCACCAAGCACCCTCCACATCACCAAGCACCCTCCACATCACCAAGCACCCTCCACGTCACCAAGCACCCTCCACGTCACCAAGCACCCTCCACATCACCAAGCACCCTCCACGTCACCAAGCACCCTCCACGTCACCAAGCACCCTCCACGTCACCAAGCACCCTCCACGTCACCAAGCACCCTCCACGTCACCAAGCACCCTCCACATCACCAAGCACCCTCCACATCACCAAGCACCCTCCACATCACCAAGCACCCTCCACATCACCAAGCACCCTTCACTTTCGTTGTCTCCTACATATCTTCAGTTTAAGTGAAGACTACACAGAAAACACATATGCTACCAACTCTTCCATTCCTTTCTCTGCACTTGTCTTCTCACCTCTTCCCTTTTCCCCTCTTTCCCTTACTACCCCCTTTCTCTTTCTTACTTTCTTTCCCTGATCTCTCTTCCTCCCTTCTCCATTTCTCCCCCTCTCCCCACCCTCACCCAGGGGGGAGGAAGTGTGTGCTATTCTTCCTGGGGAAACTCTCCTGAACCACAGCATCCGGATCTCTGGGAGTGAGCAGGTAGTGTTGGTCTCAAGAGTGACCGGAGCGCCACCATGAGGATCCTTCACGTCACTCTTTAGTGAAACTACTCACTAGAGGGACCGCTTTCTCTCCTACTTCCTCTTCTCGAGGAAGGATTGAGCCTGCGAAACCTCCGCTAGAAGTTTTTCTTTACTCCCTCCGAATGACATTCAGTTTCTCGTATTTCGAAACAAGGCGATTACTGTAATAGTATTGAAAATAACTGGATTGACAGTGTCCATACACAAGTTATTTTAAGGCACTTCCAGTCAATAATCATAAAGATCGTCATAGTAGTTACCAACGTGCCAGTACGAATGAGTCTGTTAAACGCCTGAGATGAACGTTCTTTCTAAAACAGAACAGTAGAGTGAAAAGAAAATGGAAAAGGGAGACTTTAAGATGAAAATGGGAGGACGACGGGGCGGGGAAGGTCGCACAATAGTTGGAATCTCTCGCTGAAAAGAAAGTCATGTTCTGGAAAAAGATTTCTCTCGATTTTGCTGTCGTTACTTTCCCATGGCAGACAGGGTGGCATAGACAAGATTTTTGGTGTTTTTGTTTATGAACACCTTGAGTTGAGGACAGCAGCTCTTGAATGCCCCAGACTCCCAGTTAGGATATCAAACCCGTCCCCTTCAAATTAAGTCGCTTTTCGTTCGCATTTATCGCCAAAATCAGACGTTATTTGTAAGAGGACAGGTTGAGGATATCAGCCTACCACGTCATCTGCGTGTTTGTGTGTTTGTGTCATGCAGCTCGCCAAACAACTCGCTATAAATAATACCCAAAACAACTCGGTGCACTATTAATACAAATGGACACACTAACACCGTCATTACTCCCTGTTGTAAATTATTGGTCGTCATACATAGCGACATCTAACGGGCGCACCGACTCATATTCCCGAGTTAAAAATACAAAACTTTGGCTCCAGCACGCCCCAACATCCACGCTGTATCCGCATTCGCTGTAATTAGCGCTCTACTCAATTTGTTATGACGTTTCATTATTTGGCGATTTTGAACTATCTCGTGAAATACGCCATTTTCCAGTTTTCACTCTGTGATGATTCCCACTGTTTCCTATTTACACTCATTCCTATTTCCACTTATTCCTATTTACACTGATTCATATTTACGTTGATTCCTATTTACTCTGATTCCTGCCCAGCACATATTCGACAACCGGGAAATGTAAATACAATAGGGAGTGCATTAACTATTGACCGAACGTACAATAATGTACTGATGTACACTTACAGCACAAAAAAACGATTTTACTTATGATTTTGTAGAGTGTTCGAGAAGGAAGAAAACATGCAAACCTCAATTTTTCTAGGCCTAGTAGTATATATAAATTAGGTCTTCTACAGCATTTAGTAGGCCTTGGATTGCTTTTATAGGCCTTGGACAGATTGCATGGGTTAGTTACTGTTTCACATTTTGCCCTGTCATTTGGGGTATACCACTAGTACAAAATGTGAACTGGTTTGTTTTCGTATACCAGTTTATTTATTTACGTTATGTTGATTTAAGTACTAAAATATTTTTGAGGATTAGTTTGATTTGGCTATCTATTGAGCAGTATTGATCACTATTGATGACTTATGATCACTATAATGCTATGATGACTATTGTGATCACTATAATGCTATGACGACTATTGTGATCACTATAATGCTATGATGACTATTGTGATCATTATAATGCTATGACGACTATTGTGATCACTATAATGCTATGACGACTATTGTGATCACTATAATGCTATGACGACTATTGTGATCACTATAATGCTATGATGACTATTTTGATCATTATAATGCTATGATGACTATTGTGATCACTATAATGCTATGATGACTATTATGATCACTATATTGCTATGAGTCCCAATATGTGACTTTTGTTATGCATTCAGTCCTGCGACACAACTGTTCTAACTTGCCGTGCAGTGAAAGTTTTCACAAGTTTTCTGTAAAATCTCATCTCATTTTGCAATACATATTTATTAAGTGATAATTTTAATTTTTCAGTAACACCCTTTTATATAACAATACCATTGTCCAACAATTGCCAGATATGCAATAATACTAACCCTCAGCTATTACCACTAGACGCATATTACATTTATATAGGCCTATACAGCAATATCCACTATGCCACTTTTGTAATAGTAACAACTATGCAAGAATACTAATTAGGTGCTTGTAACAATGCTCACTAGAACAAAGGTCCTATACACATTTGGCCTATACAATAATACCCACTAAGACTGTGAAACTATACATTCAACAATATTAACTATGACTATTCACTAATACCTACCACGACTATGCAAAACCACCCACTATGCAGATATACCAAATAGGAAACAAAAAACACTATTCTGCAACAATACCTTGCAGCAATATCCATTATTCATTAATGTTCACTCTACAATAATGTCCAATTAGTAATGTTATCTACCTGTTTAATTAATGGTGATGCCCTACAGTGGCTTCTGTTGAACTTTCCACTGAGTACACTTTCACGTCATCAAAATGATTCAACTGTAAGCGTTTTCGTCATATAAACATCAGCTTCCGATAATTCTCAGATTACTCTCCATGTCTCAAGCGAGTCCAGCTTGCAGTTTCTGATTTTCTTTTTCGTAATATCTGTGAGAAGTAAGTCCCCCATTGCGATTTTGTCAACGATAAATTACCTTCCCCATGCATAGTGTCTGTTTATAATATATTATCGCCTAATGATTCTCACTCAAAATTCCTTGTGGTTTGTGATGGGCTTAAAGAAAGCCAGCTCAGAATACGCCTCTTCGTGTATTCCCCTTGAATCCATTATCAGTCTCTTTATCCTTCATATTCCTTTATACTCAATAATGCATAGAAATCTCTGCAGGACTATAATAACCCAGTTCAATCCATCTCAATTCCTCAAAATCCTAACCAGTTCTTCGCATCGCCTGAATTCAATCATTTCAGTCAGCAACAATCTCTCTCATAACTCTTTACATACACACAATCTCTTACCCAATCCTTTATAGTTTCTTACGGACGCTGTTTCTCAACCTCACATTACCGCATTTAGTATCTCCAATAATCAATTACTCGGTCCCAAAAAAATCTCACATAATTCTCTTCAGTTTCTATCTCATAATCTCTCTAAAATTGCTTTAAATCCCTGATGCCCCCATAATCTCAAAATCCCTCGACACAATTTACAATCTCCCAGATCCAAGTAATCCCTCACAATTGCTCTCAAACCACCATAATCCTTCTTCCCCCTCTCCCCCCCTCCCGGATTTCCAATCCCAGCCAATAACCAGCGTGACGACCCGGATGTAAACACCTCCAAAAATCCATTACTCCGGATTGCCTTTTGGCACTAATATTTGGTTGCTGCGGTTGGGGTACAGTGGGAATGGGAGGAGGAAGGGTAGGGGGGAGGAAGGAAAGAACAGGAGGAATGGTTGGGGGGAAGGAGAGGGGAGAAGGAAGGGTAGGGGGAAGGATTGGGGAAGAGGAAGGGTAGGGGAGGAAGGAGAGGGGAGGAGGATTTTCTATTATTATTATTATTTTCTACCACAGACGTGGCCACACATTTATAATGCTAATCAGCATTTATACATTTTCTTCTGTCCTCCATGGACAGGGTGAGAGATCTGTTAAACATATAATTCAGGGATTTATTGAACAATCAGCCACAGAAGATGATTGTAGTGCTTTTAAAATGCTAAACTAACCTACACACATAAATACACAGATTTACGTGTCTTACATAAACAGTGTTTGAGGTGTCTTTTTACATAGTGCCATTAATGTGCGTTTACAAAGGAGAAATGCAATTCTGGCCAGCTTCCACATAACCTCTATACAAATACACACACATATTACACATATACCTACATATATTTACATATATATATATACATACACCAATGTCTCTCTTACTTTGACAGGGTAAGATAGCTTCTATAGAAACTAGTGTGATATTAAACACTTAACCACGGAAGGTGATGAAGATGCTTTTACAAGCTCAGGTTATAGGTACATGCATTGTATAAAAGATGTATTACATAACGTATAGGTACAATACATTGTATAACAGATGTATTACATAGTCAATCTTGGGTACAAGATCAATATATCATCAAGTGTCCCAGTACTCATATAATATTTACAGAGTTCAGCAGATCTCAGCCCAGGAGGGCGAAAGTCGGTCAATATGGGACATTCTCCGTGGTGTAGTGGTCAGACACTCGCCTGGCGTTCCGCGAGCGCTTTGTCATGGGTTCGTATCCTGGCCGGGGAGGATTTACTGGGCGCAAATCCTTAACTGTAACCTCTGTTTAACTCAACAGTAAAATGGATACCTGGTTGTAAAAACGATTCTTCGCGGCGGGGATCGTATTCCAGGGACTTGCCCGAAACGCTACGCGTACTAGAGGCTGTACAAGAATGTAACAACTCTTGTATATATTTAAAAAAAAAAATCTACAATATAATGTTCCAGGGAGTGCATGTTTTCTATTTCACGAAGTTGACACATTAATTCCACATTTGGGTTTTGAGAGAGCTGCCAGATAAGTTTATATCTCAGGCGTATTCTGGCCATTATAGAACATATTTATCATAATGTTTAATGCTACAACTTTCAGGCCTTTGTGAATTTGTGAGGCCAGTGAGATTTTCATTAGATATTTGTTTACGTATTCTCTTTGTCACTGCTAATGAAACACC